CTTTCAAGCAGGGTCAGGGCCAGATAATCCTTTGCTGAGGGGTGCTGTCCTGTGCATACAGGATGTTTCACAGCATCTGTGACCTCCACCCACTAGATGCCAGCAGCAGCCCACCTCCAGTTGGGACAGTTGAAAGTGTCTCCACCTATTGCCAAGTGTCCCCTGGGCGGCAAAAGCACCCCTCAGTGAGACCCGCTGCCTTCCAGGTTATTTGATGGTGCTGACTTCCTGTAATTGCCCCAGTAACGGGGTTTGGAATACAGTACGGGATCTTCTTCATGTAAAAGACCAAAGAGTAAATATTTCTAGGCTTTGAGAGCCATGTGCCATCTCTGCCTCATTTTCTTTGTTTTTGTTTGGTTCTGTGTTAACTTCCTGTAATTGCCCTAGTAAAGGGGTTTAGAATATAGTACGGGAACTTCTTCATGTAAACGACCAAAGAGTAAATATTGTTAGGGTTTGAGAGCCTTGTGCCATCTCTGCCTCATTTTCTTTGTTTTTGTTTTGTTCTGTTACAATCTTTTAAAAATATAAAAACTCCTTCTGAGCTCAAAGCTAGGTTGGAACGTGCTAATCCTTAGCCTGTGGAGAGAGGGTGGTGATGGCCATTCCCACAACGACTGCAAGTGCTCAGGCGGTATTTAGAAACACTGGGGTCTGGATCCTGCTACCAGGTCTTCATGACCCTGACCTAGCAGTTATGCTGCCCTTCTTGGGAAGCCTGAAGTAATTAACCCCAAATTAAATTCTATTAATCTTGTTTTGCAACCTAGTTCTGTTTAATGTATTTAATCATAATAAGTTTAAATAAAGGACAAAGTCAGCATTTGAACAAAGTGAGATTCCCCCGTAAGCGGAAGAATGTCTGCATGGTGAGGATGTGTCCTTCTACTGGTTTGGAATAAACTATCCTGTGAGGGACCTCCGCAGAGGACAGTGTACAAGGAAATGCCCACACACAATTCCCAAACTAATTGAAATATGTTTTAATAGGACTACAGACGTTATCAAGGAAGGGTGAATCTGGAAAAAGAAAAGCCTAGAAACTGCTTGTGGAGCTATAAACATTTTTAAAATGTCATTTTGAAAATACATGTCAAAGTAGTTTCTATGGAATTTTCTGTGTCTATCCCTTTAGCGTCTGAGTAAACTAGGGCAAGTGCACTGGACAAGTTGTTTCTTGCAGGTTTACATGTGCCAGGGACTGTGTGAGGCATTGGAACTGAATCTACCTGGACAGTGATTTTTCCAGTGAAACATTTTATATTTCTGTCTTTGTGTATTGCTAATTCCAAATATCTGATGTTTTACTTTGGGCGTTTAGAGTTTTTACATGTGGATTTTCATGGACAACAGACAGAATCAGTCAAGAAACTGGCCTTATGATCTGGTTAATACTGTTAGGACAACACCATGAGATGGGCATGAGGCTCTGGTCAAGTATAGTTCATTTGAGTTTTAAAAATGTACATTTCAAAGCATTCAAGTGGTTTATCAGATGGGAGGCAGTGATTATAGTGAAGAGTACTGGTCTGAGAGTCAAAACCCTGTCCTGTCCTGATTCTGTCATTGCCTTCTTTCCATGGGTAAGTGAATTAATTTCTATGGTGATTTCTCATCTGTAAAATGGGATCATAGAATGTATACCCTCAGGTGTTTACCGTATTTAAACGTACTGTGTATGTATAACTTACAGAGTGCCATAAAAGTCATGTCATTATTATAAGGCCTGGGCTAAACAGGCTCTTCCTTCTCCACAGATGATTCTGGAATAAATCAAGTACTGTCTTGGTCACTGCCCAGGTCAATTACCAACAAGACCTTACACTTTATTTTCAGCAGTCAAGAAGAAACATACTTATAAAAGCTCATGAGGTGCTCCTCTGAAATTTGCTCTCAGATGAACATCATGAATTTTCTGTTAAAATATAATAATGAGCTAAATTTAATCTTCTAGTGAAACGAAGACATTTAAAGATGTTCAGAAATTAATGGTTGATCCTTTACCAGCACCATCAGGCCCCACCCACCTATACCCCCAAACTACATCTCTGCTCCAGAGACTTCCAAGGAAACCAGTGCTAGGGACGGTCATGCTTCTCATAGTTTGGGGTCGAAATCTACACTGCAGACTGAGTATGTGAACCATGTCACTTGCACAAATTTGAGAAAGCTTCTCCAAATGAGATCAGCTGGATTTTCAAATGTGGGTTGTTATTATTTTTTTGGTGATACTCTCAATTATATGAAAAAAAAAATCAACCTGGGTTTTTACTTTTTGTCATCATCCCTCTTCCATCTATTTTTGGTCAGAAAGTAGCTGTATTAATAGCCTGAGAAGGGGAGGGATCCCCTTCAGTAAATAGGTACAATCGCAGAGCACTATGAGGAGTAAATGACACACAGCCCTGCAACCTACTTCCTCCGGTTTCGCAGGGGGGCCCGTGAAAGCCTTTCCGAAACCCTGCTTAGCTCTGTCCACTTCGTTTCGAATGTGATGCCATCCAATGGGCAGGAGCCGGATGGAGTTGTGTGCAATGTGAGCTGTCAGGGCCGTCCTTGATGCCAGCAGCAAAGTACCAGGATAACACTAGTATGGGCAGGAACAGGGACTCTTTGACTCTTAACACCTTTTGTAAAGGACAGATCTTCATCCTATCTCTAATGGAAAGAAAGAAAAATAATGATAAGTGCTCATTCCCACACTTTCCATTTCCATGACTACTGGAGGTCCATCTTTCTGTCCCCAGCTCTGTACCTACCCAATACAGGAGTTGGATGTAGAAAGAAAAATGGATGTATAAAATTGAAGGCAATTCCCTCAGTTTCCTAGGTCTAAGTTATGAGTTTATATAAACTAAGTGAATTCATTTGACCAGAGAGCCATCAGCTAGAAATGGCTTCTGACCACACTGATTTGGTTTTGATTTTCCCCAGACATCTAGCATATGAAAAACATATTTCACATCTCGAATCTGAAAACAATTCACTGACAAGACCATTGTCCTTTAAAAGTTGCCCTTTAGCCATGAGGCAAAGACAGCCTCCCTTTCTCTCCAGTCCCAACTTTCTCAGATAATACGGTTTTCTGTCCTGAACAGGTCAAAATCAAATAGGAGAGAAAGAATCCTGTTGAAAAGAGACCTGATGTGCCTGTTGGTGTCTCATTAACCTTGAGAGTGAATGTAACTGGTGACTGCCCGTCACAAGTGGCGTGACAGTTTGTTGGGGGGAGGGGGAAGCCAGTGGAAACATCATCGGGTGGGGGTGGGGAATATAGACAGAAACATCATTTAGTAGACTATATATCAAAACACGGGGCAGCTTTCCAACCGTCGGGACTGGCTAAATTATAGTTTCTTTAAACGTGCGATGAAACTACTATGTGTTTTCTTGGGCAAGCATTTGAAGCAGTATTCTTCTATGTGTCATAATATGTTCACTGAAGTACTGGCGCGCACGCACACGCACACACACACACACACTCACACACCAGTTCGATGCTGGAAGCATGATCATAAGAAAAGCAAATATTTCCGGACTACTGTTACTAAGGTTCTGTGATGATGTGTGAGCCATTAAAAATATCACAAGCCACCCAATGTGGCAAGGTCCTAATTCCACCGAGTCCCCTGTCAGGTTCCCCTCATTACTAATTGCTGATTGATAACACATCGACAGATAGAAGAAGGAAAATAACATAAGGAAATTAGCTGGTCTCCAGGAATAAAGGGTTACCCAGAGAGGAAAAGAGGGTAGAGTTCCCCAGGTTCACAGGCTAACTCCCCTTGGCATAAGTAGACTAGAAATCTAATCGGCCTCTAATCCCAGATCTGGACAGGAGCCCTTCCTAAAACTAGCACCTTTCCTGGCTCTGCCCCAAGGCTCTGGCTGGGGCTGGTTCCTGCTGGCCCTCTGCAGAGGGGCACCTTAAGTAAACAAGCCCCATAATCCTCACCAGGGGCTTGAATGGAACATTCTCACCTCTTTCTGCTTTTCTCTCTCAAGGTCTCCACTTTTCCATCTTTAGTCCTCACTCTTCTGCTTTTCTTAGGAACTTCCTGAAAGTTATCACCATTAACCTCACTTTTCACATCAAATTCCCACCTCGGGCTGACGGCACAACCTGTTTCCACTAGTGTCACCCACTGACCAGCTGCTTCATTTCCTGTGCTCTTCTTGGAGCCACGCAGCCTGGCTTCTGACCTCCCTCTTCTGGCTCTGCCCCTCACCCTCACGTCCAAATGCACCCAAATAAAAGTGGATTAATCGAATTTCTATTTTCCCAAAGAAGTTTTTGCATTTCGAAAGAAGGGAGCTACGTGAAAGACGAAATAACTGCGAATTACAGACACCATTTCCTACCCCAGAAGACAGAGACGGCCACCTCGCTCTGGGGAAAAGGGCAGCCGGGCCGCTCCTTGTCCTCGCCAGGGACCACACTTCTTGCTTGGGTGGGTAGGAGGCATTTTCCTCACCATCCCGCTTCACGTTCCTTCGCCCCCTCCCGGCCCCTGCAAGCAGCCTTTCCCACATCACTCCAAAGGCCAGAGAAAGGGAGAAGAGAATGGGAGAGGGGACTCTGAATCGCCCCCAAGCATAATACTTTGTTTTCAAGTAGCAGGACTTTCCAGAATGTCTCCTCGGGGTTCGGCTCCTTCCTGGCCCAGTTACCCCCAAGTCTCCCCACCAAGACCACTGCAACCAAAACAAGCGCACAGACCACAGCACCGTGGCTGCCGCCGCCCCAACTGTTGCAGCAGCTGCCGGGGTGGCGGCGACAGTGGCGAGGGCAGGGCCGGGCCCGGACCTGGACGCTCCCCGCCCGGGAGGCTAGGAGGCTCCGGGCGGCCTCTGAGGGGCACGCGGTGCAGGGGAGCCCCTGCGGCAGCCGCCTGGGATGGTAGAGGCGGCGCTCTCAGCCCGGACCCCCGCGCAGAGCCTGCCCAGCCGCGCCAGCGGCACTGGCGGGAGGCTGCCCGCGCCCGCCCCTCTCTCACCTTTAAGATCAGGTCAGTGTGATGCTGGTCCAGCATGTTGGCTTTCTGGAAGGAGGTGACGATGACCCGGCCGTAGCGCCCGGGGGTCTGCAGGTCCGAGTAGAGTCGGTGTTTGGAGCGGTTGACAGGGAAGAGGCTGTTGACGAGGTTGCGCTCGATCTTGGCGAGGCTGTGCTGGGGCGCCAGCAGGTGCTCCACGCTCTCCTCGACCTGGTAGCGGCTGAAGCTGGCGCCGAGCAGGATGGAGATGAGCACGGGCGCCGAGGCGAAGAAGACCGGGTGACTGGCAATGAAGTGGCCGAGCCGGGAGAAACACGTCCTCAAGCCCCTGTGCAGAACCTGCCGCAGCATCCTAGAGCAGAGCGGGCGCGGGAGGAGGGCGAGGCGCACGCTCGGCGCGGGCTCGGGCGGCGGCGGCGGCGGCGGCGGCGGTGGCGGCGCCCGCGGCGGCGGCGGCGGCGGCGGCGGCGGCGGCGGAGGCGAGACCCGGAGCTCTCCCGGAGCCGCGGCACCACCATCGGGGAGTCCCGCGCCGCGCCTCGGGAGGGTCCCCTCGGGCCGGAGACACGCCCTCCTGCCCGCGGCCGCGCGGGCCCAGAGAGCCCCCCAGCCTGGCGGCCTCCGCGCCGCCCCCACCCCGCCCTACCCCGTGCGCCCTCCCCACCCCCCGCCGCCTCCCCGCACGAGGGGCTCTGCGCGGCGAGGCCGCGTCCTGGCTCAGCGCGGCAGGGGCCCGGAGCAGCCCCCGTGGCGCGTCATGACCCCACTCACCCGACCCCCAAGGCCAACGAGGGGTGGCGCGGGGAGCGGCGGCAGCGCTATCTCGGGGAGACTCTGCGCCCCAGCCTAGGAACACGAGGACGGAGAATTCCAGGCTACACCCAGTCCCCTCCCCTCCCAGCGCTCCCCTCCCCCGGCCCGGCCGCCGCGCACGCCCTCCCCTCCCCTGTCCTTCACCGGGGAGACCCAGAGATGAATAAAGAAATGGCCCTGGTTTTCCAAACAAAAAGTAAAGAGTTCTCCCGGGGGGCGTCGGGTGGACCCGCTCAGAGCCAAGTACCCCCAGAGGCGGAAAGGAGGAGGCTGAAGACTGCGTGCGCCCCGGCTCTCGCCAGGCTCAGGTGGTGGCGCGCACTGGCTGGTGCGGAGAGGGGGTGGGGAGCGAAGACGCTCGAACGTGGATATCACGCCTCCTCTCAAGTAAGAGCCATTTAAATTATCCCCAACACTGCAGCTGCCGCGGGACCGCGGGGTCCAAGTGTGCGTCTTGGGCACGTCCACCCAAAAGGCGTCCGTGGAGGATCATTCTTCTTGCCCTCAGGGTCGCTCCAGAGTGTATTGGAGCAGTTCTGCTGCGCGCCCCTCAACCTGCGCGCCCACCCTGTCCCCCAGTAATAAAAGTGCTGGTACTAATGGTCAGTCGGCGGAGCTCCCGGACTCCCGGCTCTCCGCCTTGCCTCCTCCTCCTCCCTCTGTCGTCACAGGCGGGTCTGGGGGACCTGGTGCTGCAGGGCTGGAGCGGGCGCCCCTGCGGGCGGGCGTAGAGTGTTTGTGAACCGGGAGTCTGTAGCGTTACTCTTCTCTCCAACACCCCGCCGTCTCATTCTCAAAGGCGCAAGTGTGGGAGTGGGGGACACCTTATCTCAGACCTGGAAAGATACTGGTCTCCGAGCATACCGAGCCGCAGGGGGCGCGGGGGAGCCCGGGGGGCGCCGACGTCTCGGCAAAGTTGGGCGTGTGCGTGTGCGCGCCAGCCTCGAGCTAGCAGGCAGCCACTGTGGTTCCCCTCGCACTCCCCTTCCAGAGAATTTCCCGAGAAGGCGGGCGCCGGCTTCGGGCCCGGGATAGACCTGCGGCGGCGGCGGGAACGGCCACGCACAGGTACAATTTAGCGCGTTTCGTTGTGCGCTGTAAGCCCTGGGGTCCATGCATTGCAACTCAAACTGAGCCGGATCTCGGAGTCTGGGTTACTGAGGCGTTCAGTCCGGCTAAGGGGGTGGGGACCGGTGCGCGGTGGAGGGGTCCCAAGGTTCGGCGCTCCGAGCGCTGGGTTTTCCCGTTCCACGCCTCCAGTCGCTCCTGCTTGGCCTCCTAGTGCCAAGGGTCAAAGGAAAGGCGGTGGCGACTGGAGGCGCGGTCCCTGGAGTGTAGCCCGCACTACTGAGCATGGACTTGGATACTGAAGCTGAAGGGAGGCGGAATAGGGAGAGGAAGAGGAGAAGTACGGGGAGGAGGAAGCGGAAGAGCGGGAAGAGCAGAGGGAGAGAGAGATGGGTGGGAGAACGCGATTCAGGGAGGTGTTCCCCTAATGTTCCTATTCCAGACTCCCCAGTGCCAGGCGGCCCTCCACTTCTCAAACTGAACTTGGGAACTTGCATGTTAGAAACAGGAAGTCTTGGGCTGGGAAATCCTCCTTTTTTGGTTTCTCTCCTCCCTTCCCCCACACCAGACCCTCCTTCCTACATTCCCTCAGCAACACCTGCAACTGCTGCGGTGCCCACCCCGGGGGCGCACCCGCTCAGCTCTGACTGCTCCCTAGGTCCTTCTACCCAGCTGTACTGTAGTCCACTTTCTCTGCCCACCGTCGCTCATTCCCCACACCGATCTCTTTTTCCAAAGGCTCCCCCGGGCGCCTAGGTTCAACCATAAGCTTCCAGCCAACACCCCCACCCCCACCCCAGTACCGCCGTCCCCAGGAGGGACACATTGGGAGCGGCTAGAAATTCCCCTGCAACACTCCACTCGTGCCCTTCCCCCAACATCGTAATTTCTGCTCGAGGAGACGCCGCTGCTCTGCAGCGCTTTGCTGATTCACGATGATCGCGGAGGGAAAAGCCTCTTTGACTTGTGCCCCTGCAACTGGCAAGGCAAGCGCAAGTGGCTGCGAGGGCACACGTTTCGGGAAACCACCCACCACTGCGCCGCCAAGGTGCTAAATGGCAGGGTGGATGCCCTGCGTGGCTCTCAGCTGGGGCAGAAGGAAAGGCAGAAAGGGCGGGGTTGCGGGTGCGGTGGCAGTGGCAAATACTGTGAGCCCAGTTCTTTGCCGCTGAGCTGGCGGCAGCTGGTGGGTGGGCACCTCTCAGGAGGCCTAAAGTCAGTCATTGGCGCGGGGAGCGAACAGAGATGTTTCATGTGCCCTGATGCCAGCGCAGTGGCAGAAGCGAGAGAAGGGAAACCAGCCGCCGACAGGTCTCCTTGGGAGCCTTTAACATTTTGGCGAAGCTCTTTTCATTCTGAAGTCTTTGTCCTTCCAAATGATTCCCTCCTAACCTTGGTTCGCTCTGGTCCCTGGAATTTCTGGTCTTTTAATGGTGGCCCTCGCGCAGGGTGCAGAGCAGATGCCCCCTTTCTCAGCGCCTGGGCCGAATCTTTGAGCGGGATAAACCCAGCTTTGCTCAGCTGGCGGGGGTGGGAGTGTTGTCCTCCCACTCAGAAAGGGCCTTTCCTTTGAGACCCTGGAATTTGCTTCTAGTCCTTCCTACTCTGTTCCTAATCTTCATGTATATGTGGGGCAACTTCCGCGGTCCCTCATTTAATTCAGAAACCCCCAATGGCCTGGGAGAGTATCTTCCTGCCACTTTTTATTGCAGGAAATTCTATTAGCATTACCTAAATTGAGTTGGAGCAAGGGGGGGGGGGGCTTGCCTTGTCCAGATTTGATTTTTCTTCTTTTGATTCAGACGTTGGAGGGAGGGTTGCCACCACCAAGACCTGGGTTTGCATTTGGGGCAATGACCTTGGAAATAGAGTTTCCATGAGTACATTCATAAATTACTCCTTTTTGTGATGAAGAATTAATACATATTAATTGTAGAAGATTTAGAAAATAAGAACTAGAAAAAGAAGGAAAGAAAATGACACCCCTATCCCTGTTACTCCCGCCACCTTTCAGAGGTAGCATCTGTTGCTAATTTATTGTACACACAGACAACACAATATAGAGGTTCAGGCCGTGGGTTCCATAGCCACTAAGTTAATCCGTGCTCCACTACTTACTATGATACATTGGGTGAGTAACTTCACCTCCTTATGCCATACTTTCCTGTTCTGGAAAATGGGAATGATTAATAAGACCTACCTCATAGAGTCGCTGTAAGGAATAAATAAAAGATCTAAGGCACATAAAGCAGTGCCTGGTATATCACAAACACCTAGTTAATGATACTTGTCATAATTCTAGTCTTTCTTGAATATGTGTATGTGTGAAAAAGAAAATCAGTCCCTGCCATCCAGAAGTTGGCCTGTTATTATCATTTGGGACTAGGTGGCACTAGGAGCTGCGCTGTTGCTCCCAACTAAGTTTCATTGTTTTCCTTTTGAATAAAAGCCATTCTCTAAAACACTAATGTCGGGTAAGGTCATTGTGTAACTGTGATGGATCCAGACAAAATTAGGACCACTCCATAATCATGTCTGAACATAGATGAAGCATGAACCTTGTCCACATCCCCAAAATGATCAAACATGCCCCTATCTTGGATAATAGGAGTGATTATCATGTTTTTTATTTTTAAACAAATTGGAGCTTTAATTTTGGTCTGACCTTGTCTCCTAGATAAAGATTTGTTAAGACACCCAGTCATGAAACTACCCCTGCTTCCTGACAGTATCCAATCCACAGCAAGCCCCACTGCCTTAAATCTTCCCCCAGATTACTTAATACAAGCCCAGGTCCTTCTTATTGAGATGCTCCTCAGTTCCCCATGGTACATGTTCTTGTCATGGTACATGTTCTGAAAGAAAAATAAACCCAATTCATTCAACTGCTGGTGTGTTCCTGGTGGTCTTTGGCAAGAGGGCTTAGGCAATGTATGTAAAATGTTTATATTCTTTTTTTCCTAAAATTGAAAGTTATAATAAACATTCTGTTTGGTAAACATTTTCTTCCATTATATAGATTGTAACCATTTTCTCATGTTGACCAATACCGCCACAGAACATTTTTAAAATTAATTTTTAACGTTTATTTATTTATTTATGTATTTATTTATTTATGAATAGTTTATTGTCAAGTTGGTTTCCATATAAGACCCAGTGCTCATCCCCACAAGTGCCCTCCTCCATGCCTATCACCCCCTTCCCCCTCCCCCCACCCCATCAGCCATCATTTTGTTCTCAGCATTCAAGAGTCCATGAGAGACTCTTGAACGTTTATTTATTTTTGAGAGACAGAGACAGAGCATGAGTTGGGGAGGGGCTGAGAGAGAGGGAGACACAGAATCTGAAGCAGGCTCCATGCTCTGAGCTGTCAGTACAGAATCGGATGCAGGGCTCGAATTCATGGACCACGAGATTATGACCTGAGCTGAAGTCAGACACTTAACCAGTAACTGAGCCATCCAGGCACC